AGGGAAAGTGCCGCACAAATCCCTAATCCATGAGCAACACGTGGCATTGGGTGGTTACGATTAATCTGGGGCATTTATGATTCATTTTTTGTGCACGTACCCCGGACAGGCTTACAGAGGATTAGCAGAGATCACATGGACTTGTTGTTTAGAAAAATGCTAAGTCCTAAATGTCAACCTGAAGCCCGACCGGCCATCAGTGTTGTAAAAGGTTATCTGAAACCAAACGGCTAAGTCCCAAAAATTGATTTGAAGCCCGAACGGCTATCAATGTTATGAAGAAGCCCAGGTGCAAAGAAAACGGCTAAGTCCTAAAAGTTGACCTGAAGCCCGACCGGCTATCAACGTCATAAAAGCTATCCTAAGGATTGGTTTGAAGCTCGACCGGCTATCAACGTCGTAAGAGATTATCTGAAGCAAGAATGTGCTAAGTCCTAAAATTTGGTATGAAGCCCGAACGGCCGAGTACCAGAGAGAAGGGTTTTTTCCTTAAATAAATCATCAGAACTTTCTAATTCCCGAACGGCGATCAACGACATTAAGAGTAGTTGAGCAAGAAATAAAGTTAGGAAATTGATTAAGTCCTACAAAATGGGCCGAATCCCGAATGACGAGTAAATCATGCATTAAAGACAGAAAAGATAGTACACAAAACTTCATGCAAAAAAGAGATATATATTCATCGGCTCTACTGGCCGGGAAATACAGTTAAGGTTTTTTGTAAAGAAAGAACAAAAAGGGGTTACAGTTGCTAAGACTACTAAGTTACTACTCTATTGCCCTGCCCCATTGTCTTCTTCATCACCCTCCTCATCCGAGTCAGTGAGGGGATCAGGCTCCTTTCCCGCCTCCCGATCAGCAGCCCGTTGTAAGTCTCTTTGATATTTCTCATATTGAGATTCAACTATGGGCGCCTGAGGGAGATCAGCAAGCTCAACCGGCCTCCCTAGCAATTCTTGAAATTTGGCGATAAAAGGAGGCCTTATTGTGCTGACAGCCCATGACGTACAGGGATCGAGCCAGGGAATCATTAAATTTTTTCCCCCTGGGGTCCTGATCGAGCAATTTGACCCCCTCGCTCCGACGGGCGTCACCCGTGGAGAAATGGTCAAGATAATCACCAAAGGTGACTGGGAGTTGCTGCTGTGCGAAATCTTTCTTCAAAATAGCAAACTCATCAGACCCTTTAAATGACTCCCGAACGGCGGACAGGTCAACCTGTATTTCAGCAGGGCCGTCCGGGATGCGAGGGGCGTGCTCTTCGAATTTAACCAAGGCAGCTTCTGCAGCATGGACCTTGGACTGAGAAACCCCGAGCTGAACCCGAAGCTCGCCAAGCTCCGATTCAAGACGTTTCTTCTCCTCAGCATAGGCCTTCCGCTCGTCCTCCAGAGCAGCAAAAGCAGCTGCTGCATTCTGCTCCGCGGAACTCTGAGCAACGATCAGCTCCCGCTCCTTGGCCAACCGAGCTTCCTTCAGCTGCAGGCTGTAAAGCCCAACCTGCAGAATGACATTCAGGGAATGAAATGGGGAAGAGAAATTGTATATTAAGAAAGATTTAAACTATGGAATGGCAAGATACCTTCAGAGCTGCCAAGGCAAGGCATTCCTCGGACTGCTCGACCGATAACTTGGGGACGGTGAAATTGTTGAAGAAGGCAGAGGTACACCAGATTTGACTTGCCGAACAGCCACCTCTTTCCACAACATCATGAACCGGATCCGCCAGGGAAATCCGGTCAACCTGGCCAGATAACTGAACGGTGGGTGTTTCACCCGTACCCTGGCCGGTCTCTGGAGCAGCTTGAAAATGCTCGGAAAATTGCTGCAGTTGATCAGAGCCAAACCGATCATCGACCAACATAGCATCAAATTGATCCTGATGGACCTGCTGTATCGGCTGTGGCTCTGGAAGCGGTTGAGAAGACCCAGCATCCTGGGCAGGAACAGTAGAGGGAGTAGGTTGGGGGTTCTTTCTGGCCTTTTTTCGCTTACCGACCCCACCAGCTGCCATAACTCTGCTGTTATCCATAGATAAATCTGGGTTTGGTGCTGAAAAATGACAAAGGGAAATGTTAGTATCGAGCGGCCTTAGCGTGTGAGAAACTAGAAAAAATAAAAAAAGGACGTTTCTCGAACGGGAAGGACCGCCCGGACCATGGAACTTGGTTTCTCAAAACAAGTAAACCCAAGAGAACGGGCAGTATCTATCCCGACCGTAATGAGTCGTTCGGGAGTCAGATAACTCATGATGTCCATGCATTTATCCTTCTCCACAGCAAGCACATCCTTGTAAATTTCTTCAGTGAGGACAGGATCAGGAGTCTTGCGGGGGAAGGCATTCCATTTACGGGGAATTAGGCCGTCCGGGACAAACACAAATAAAAAACGGTCTTTCCACCCTTTGATTGAAGTCGGGTTTCCTTTGAACAGGATGTGTCCCGTTCGGGCACTAGTGGCCAGATAACTGTGGGTTTGTTGGGGGGCTACTTTGAAGAATTGATGAAAGAGTTCTAGGGTTGGTCGGGCGCCGGCATCTTTGCAACGACAAATGAAACCCGCCATTGCCCGATAGGAGTTCGGCATAATCTGGGCCGATACAACTTCGTAGAAATTGAAGAAAGAAATGAAAAAGGGGTGTAGCGGAAATCTAAGGCCGACCCTAATTGAGTCAAAGTGGACTATGGTCATTCCAGGCCTATGACGCATTGGGTGAAGCCCAGCTTGCAAACGGAAATCCACCGGGTCAGGGATAAGGGCCGGAATTTCGGCCCTATTGTGAGAGGTCAATTTCTGCCGCCTCTCCCTAATCAATTTTAGGTCAAGGGTATGGCGAGGAACATCGTTGGGACGTCCGGCCGCCATGGAGGCTATTTCGTCCTCGGATTTGGTGTCGTCGGAATCCTCACTGGAGGAAGAAGAAGTGCTAGGGAGGTCCTCCTCCTCAGCCCTGGTATTCGTCACCGGTTCAGTAGAAACACCGGCAAACGGAACGGTGATGACATCCACAATGGCGGCATCACGGTCATCTCCCTGAGAGGCCATCTCCGAATAAGAGGAATGCTCTTTGGGGCTCATCTCGGTCGAAGCCAGAAAAGAAGATAGGGAATCCGGAGTTGGGAAATTACCTGAGCAAAGGAAGTAGGGAGAAAATTGCTGAGGAAACAACGAAGGCCAAGAAATTGCAGAGTCGAAACCCGGAATTGAGAAGTTAAAGGCTAATTTATAGCCTTGAAACCGCCGTGTCGAGAACCAGTCAGTGAGCGACACGTCACTAGGAGCATTTAAGCTAAACACGTGTCTAATGAAAAGACTAAACGACGGTTATCATGATGAATATGGGGAAATGAAGCGGCAGCCGTCGAATCGCAACATGGGGAACTGATTACTTCTGTACCCCGATCGCCATTCGGGGTATTATAACATTGATATACTTCCTAATGCACTCACTTCGTTCGAGACATCGGAAGTGGGGGACTTGTGTTGGGATATTGACCTAGAGGCCCAATACCCAGATCGGGAAGGCCCAAGATATCTGGCCCAAGCAACGAGCCCATCACTCTATGATGAATAGATCCAGTAAGAAAAGATACCGAACGGGGTTCGGTCCAAATAAAGGTTGGCCCAGTAGGAAGACATGCCGAACGAGGTTCGGGCTATATATCATACTTGGGCCAATTTGACAGCATCTTCATTACAGTCCAACATCCCGTTCGAGCAACGGCCAACCAGCAAGTGGCCAGGTGCAATTAATGCCAGACTATGACATCAGCAAGTGGAAGCATGGATGACCAAGTCGGTGGAACAACGGCCAATCAGCATGAGGCAGCCCATGCTCTCCATTAGTATAAATAGAAGGTTTCAAGTCATTGTAAGGGTTAGCATTTCAATACTCAAGCTCTAGAATAGCATCATTTGCCCTTATTTCTTGTATTAAAGCATAGTTTCCGACATACCGATCGGGAATTTCCTTGTAATCAGATTGGTTAATTAATACAAGTGAGCTTTCGAGTTTTAGTTAGTTCAGATCTTATATTTTCTTATACGCTTTGATTCTGGGCCATTCCTGATATATCCAAAGTTCGTGTTGGGCTTTCGGATCTACGGGATTTACCCTCAACATTATCAAAATATATTTTAATTTTTTTCATTAATCAACAGAATCGCCCAATCCAGTCACTTCAGCCAGAACTTCATGAATTTCAGTAGAATCAGTCAATAAAACCAATTTAGGTATTACTAAACGCACCCTTCATATTTACTACACGAGTATTAGAAAGTTACTTTTTATGTACTACGTTATATTTTAAGCTTCTAGAGGAATATATCTCATCCGTCCCGAAATAATTGTCCTGCTTTCCCAAAATGGATGTCCCAAAATAATTATCCTACTTTGAAACTTTCCTTATTTGGTAAACAAATTTATACAAAACGGTATCAAACAGTGCAAAACAGTGTCAAACAGTATCGCTACAGTGCCAAACAGTGTCGCTACAGTGCCAAACAGTGTCGCTACAGTGTGAAGTCAACTTCATTTTCTTAATTTGTATGAAGGTCAGAGTTGGACAATTATTTCGGAACGGAGGAAGTAGTTTTTCTAGACTTTTACAAAGTCACAATTCCCAACTCGCAACCATGTTACAGATTCAGATTGAGTCATTATTGACAGCTCATACGTTGACATATAATCAATGCCAAGTCATTTTTCGTATAAAATAGAAACATTTTAAATACTTCATCCTTCCCGCAATTAAGTTACCACTTTCCTTTTTGTGCTGTCTCTAAATTAAGTTCACACTTTCTTACTTTCCTTATTTGGCAAATTATCTACATCAAAACAGTGTCAAACAGTGCAAAACAGTATCAAACAGTGTCCAAACAATGTTTGAACAGTTCAAAACAGTGCACTCCACAGTAAAGTCAAAATTATTTTCTTAATATGTGTGAAGTCAACCCGGGAACTTAATTGGAAACGGAGGGAGTAGTTGTTTTAATTACCATCCACCTTAGCCACATTTTGGTGCAACTAATTGTTAAGTTAGGATATCTTAAAATGGACCAATTAGACCAGACTCAAAGCATTAAAATAAGAGTAATTCTATTGACAGTTTCAAAAATTACATAGGAAGTCACCAAATTAAATATTACTACGTTACCCTCATTGAAATTTGCCAGAAACATTGCCTTATTTCACCTTCATATGTGATCGCTGTATTTGTTGCCTTATCAGACCTTCCATAAGAATTAATCATCATTGTGTAAGTGATATCATCTGGTTGATACCCAAAAGCTGGCATCTTTTCAAACCACTCCACAACTTTTACCGGCAAGGAGCAGAACCAAGCGCAGCTAATAATAATGGAGAATGTAACATTATCTGGCTTAACTCCTCTTTCAAGCATTTCATCGAACAGTTTCTCCGCGCGGCTCAAATATTTGTTTTTCTGTAGCACCTTCAGAGTTACATTGTACAAAATAACTTGATTTGTCAATTTAAGCCTTCTCCAGAAGCAATTCAATGCTACAAGCGTAATATCAAGGTGATGTTCGTCTACTGCTTTGCTACTCAAGACAGGAAATACAGCCATCACATCTTCTTCTAAAGACAGGAAATACAGCCATCACAATTTTTGGTTAACAAAAAAGTATCTATTATTACTATTTTATAAACATTTAATTAACTGCAATTAATAAATATGTTAGGCTTTTAAGTCGGTATGTGATCTTATCCTTGATTCTAGCTAGAGACACGTACAAATAGAACTCTTAGGAAGTGTTTACTTCGCTGCTAAAGCCACAGTTAGGTTAGTAAGACAAGTGAAGTGAACACGCAAGTTAGCTTAAAACGATGCTTACTAATCGAAAGAGATGCTTAAAGTGCTGCTTAATACGCATATCACCCCCCATGTATTAATTAAGCGGCACTTTAAACTTTTTCAGTTTCCGAACTTACCCTTACCTTTACCCTATTGCTACCCCCACTACCCCACCCTACCCTACCTTACCCCGACCCCAACCCCACCCCACCCATTGAACCGACCATATCCCACCCCCACCTTACCCGCCACCACCTGCCCTAACCCACCCCACCCTCACCCCTTACCCACCCCTTTACCCCCTACCACCTTCCCCTACCTTGACCTGACCCCACCCCTACCCTCGCCCCCTTCCCTGCCCCGACCCTACACCCTTCCCCTACCCCTGCCCCTACCTCGACCCACCCCTACCCCCACCCCCACCATACCCCCACTTGTACCCTTTGTCTCGACCCCGACCCCAACCCTACCCCTACCCCTACTCCACCCCCTTTCCCTACCCCCTGCCCCTTCCTCGACCCACCTCTACCCCCAGACGACCATACATCTTACCCCCACCCCTACCCCTACCCCCACTTGTACCGCTTACCTAGACCCTACCCTTCCCTACCACCAGCCCCTACCTTGACCCCACCCACTACCCGACCCTTACCCCTTTACCCCATATCACCTGCCCCTACCTCGACCCAACCCTTACAAGAAGGATGGGGGGTTGGTATGGGTGGGAGTAGGGGTGGAGGGTAAGGTCGTAGTAAGGTAGGGGTAGGGAAGGGGTGGGGGTCAAGGGTGTTGGGGATAGGGTGAGGGGTGGGGGTACAGGGCGGGGTAGGGGTTAGGGGTGTGGGTAAGGGACTAAGCGTACGAGGTGACCTCACATATTATATTATATACTTGTGTTCATGAATGTTTGTGTGTATATATATCTATAGGGTTATTTTGGACATTTTAATGTTAAACGGTGTTTTAAATCCTTTGAAGTAAAATGAGCTTACAACACTGCTTATTTTATGCGCCGCTTATTAACGTGAGTCTTCAGAAGCACTGTTTACTAACCCGTGAAGTAAACATGTCCTTAGTGTGTGTGTGTATATATATATATATACACACACACACACACACACACACACACACCTTACAAATAATACGCTTAGTACAGCTAGGAGATTAATATCATTGATGTAAATTAATATCATTAAGTGCCTGATTGAAAATTCCAGTCTAATATGGCTCTAATTTGGAGATACATTTTAGGACGTTAATTTTAAATACATTTATTTGTATTTATTTATACTATTTCGTGTTGGATTAGTTTCAACAGTTATTAACGCGATTTCATTAACGTTTGAAATCTAAAAATGTACTTTATTTAATGTAGTTTTTATATTTAAATAATTAATCCACATAATTATTTAAATAAATTTCCTAATAAAACATTTTCTAATAAAGTTAAAACCCCTATTCCTATATATTTTTTATTCGTATAATATATTAAGGTTAATACATCTATTGTTTTATATAGTAAAACAGAGTTAACAAATGTTCTATTATCACTACTATTAAAACACTTAATTAGTTTTAAATAAAAAGGAGATCATACGGCTAATGAAGAACGGAGAAAAAAACAGGAGAAAAAAGTGCAGGGAGCAAAAGTAGGAGAAAAAAGTGCTAAAGATTAAACGTAGAACCGTAGAAGAAGAAAAACTTAAATATCTTTCATACGTAGGAGAAAAAAGTCAAAAAACTCTATAATACATTAAAACATTTAATAAATTTTAAAGGGCTAAGTTGACAATAAAATATATATAGAAGGGCTAATGGAAAAGACTTGGGAAAAACTTGGAAGAAAAAACGTAAAAATATATCTTTAATATCAATCATATTAAATTATTAATGGAATATAATTTTCAGAATAGATATAATATCAATTCAGTTTTCGAAATAAATGTTACAATACCAAATTCTTCTTTAAATAATGAGACTCTAATACACATAACATGACATCAATTAAACAAAATTACTTCTACCTCCGTCCCATAATGGTTGACATGTTTTAATTTGACACGATTATTAATAGAGATAATTATCCTACGTATGACTAAAGCTTGTTCTCCTTCCCAATCTATGACCTAACTAGTTTTTTTACCAAAATAATACTAAAATTCATAATATTTATATAAAATTCGTGATAAATAAATAAATAAACAAATTAGGTTGACAAATATGCCCTTTAGATTATCTCTATAAAACTCGAAGCTCCTACTATTTTCTCCAATCCTAGCCTCCATTCCACCACCTCCGTAGATCCACCCGCCTGCAGCCGCACGCCCCTACCGCCGCCGTCCCATGACCCGCCGTCTCTCGCCGCCCCACGGCCCGCCCCTCGTCGCTGTCCAGGAGTACGTTCGCTGCAGCCAGTCGGTTGATTGCCCAGCCACCCTCAGCCCCACACCTGCTCGACGCAGCCACCGCCCAGACCGACGCCACCCACCCCCGCCATCATCCCTACATATGTGCGCCGGCGCCGTTCCAATCTATGTGCGCCACCGCCATCGCGATCCATGCAATCTACCGCCCAGTCGCCTGCCTCTGTCCGATGGGCTTACCTTAATCGTTGGAATGCTGCCAAAACCTAGCAGGGAGGGAGGCCGCAAGGAGGGGGAGTGCGACACTGCTTATGGAAAAATAGGTCTGTAGCATTTTGTGCGTGAGGATGGGCCTCCTAGATTGGGTTTGCTTTGAATACATAGACCACTGCTTTGGATTTGTTGCGTCAAATTTTTGTTGGACACGGAGGCAACTGCTTTGAACTTGCTATTAGTTTTGCCCTCCATTCTCATTTTTGCTTTTCTATTTTTGAAATTTAGAGTTTCTAAAATTAGGGTTTGTTGGCATTAAAAACGGACATTGAACATGGGCAATGAATATCATCATAGATATTCTTGAATATGACAGTGAATATGGAAATATATATATTGTACATGGCAGTGATTGAATGCATTGAAAAAGTTTGTTGTGTAATGATTATTATTGGTAGTGCAGTAACACAGAGCAGTAATTTCATCATGGAACGCAATATACTTAATTAGACGTAAAATAATAAAATTATTAAATTTTAAAAAATAAAAAATAAAAACTATAGATAATTTCGTAATGTGAATGAAAAGAGAATTAATTTTGGCAGAAGTGCTTTGATTATTACCGGATGTGCAGTAATGTCGTGCAGTAATGTTGTGCAGTAACGACAATATAAAATGCAGTGATTTTAATTTGACGAAATAAGTGCAAAATGCACATATTTAAAAATAAGGGCATTTTCGTCATTCAGCTTTTAATTAAAAACGTTATTTTATTTTATTTTTGGAATTTCGGTCATATAAAAGTCCAAAAACTAGTTAAGTCATAGATTGAGAAACTCATTAAGTTTTAGTCATATTCTAGGAAATATCCCTTATTAATAAAGTGGTTGAAAAGTAAAAATTGTGGTTGAGATTTGAGTAAAATAAAGTGACATGATAAGAACCTCATATTTCTTACTAAAATGGGAAATAAGACATTAATTTTGAGACAACCCAAAAATGAAAGTACGTAGGACAACCAAAATGGGATGAGAAAATATTACACATCTAAAAGAGGCTCTAATGCATGACTAAGGGAATGTTAGCAAAAAAAGTGCTTTTCAGTTTTTGGCTTAAAAAGTTGAAATGAGTGTTTTCAAGTGACAGTTTCTGTTTAAATTAAGCATTAAAACTAAAAGATAGAAGGAGATGGAGTGCTGCTTTAAACTGCTTTTCCCTTTTTCTATTACACAAAAAACATTTATTTTACCAAACTATTAACTTTTACTTTTTTAGAAGCACTTTTTCTCAAACACTACCAATTTTTAATTGAGCATTTTCTCCAAAATCACTTTAAAAAATCATCTTTTTAAAGTAGAAGCAACCGCCAAATTCTGTAAATTTATTTGAACATTGTTTTTCTTGGAGGAGATTTTTGGTAAACACTACTCCATACGTGTAATCCCTAAAGGGCACATGTGAAGATAGTTATATTTGCAATAAACTCATCATACTTATGAGATTTTCTTCAAGTCCCATCTCACAATGTTGTTTACAAAGTAATCTTACCACATTAATATTTTCATTTTCCTCTACTTTTATCACTTTGCATACTACTCCGTATGAACGTATATGCTCATAAACAAAAAATACTAACAATAATATTAAGTCTAAAACCAAAGAAATTAAAAAAAAACATATACACGTCAATTCTTTAAAATCATATTTCTCGTTTCTAAATGAAATATTAGTAAGCATATTCTTTTAAACATAAAATATGTTATTAACAAGTTCTATAAATATATCACTGCCTCTATCGATATTCACTATTTTAGTTCATATTATCGTGAAACTGTCGGGGCATGCCCTGGGTGTTACACTAGTATTCTATTAGATTAGATCAGTCCAGACTCATAACTCGTATTGATTTGTATTGGTACATCCACCTATATTTTAATAGAAACAGAGTATTGTTTTTTTATTTTTTTCCACGATTTACTCTTAAATGAGTCCCTTAATATTAGGTGCATGTTTAGTAGACATAAGTTCTCATATTCTATCTTTTGTACTATGTAAAAAGTCTTTAAAAGCTTCTAATTGTATATTCAGCATGATAATTTTTAAGAATTTTTTCAAAATAAAAGTTTTCTTTGAGAAGCTACAATGAGTAGCATCTGAGAGAAAATATGTAGTTTTTAGCATTAATTAATGACAAGAGTTTGTTATATCAAACAAGACTAACTCAAACGGTCAGTTTTTTATAATATCACTACAACGTTTTTCTTTTAAAATATTTTCAGTCACTAAAAAGCTAATCAAAATTATCATTTCATAAGTTTATTTTGGGACAGGGATTAGTCGTTAGCTTAGTCTATATGTGTATGAATTAAAGTATACGGGTGCTTGCTATAGTCCATTATTACAT